GCACCTGGGAGGAAAAAAAATAAAGGAGAAAAAAGGAAGCTGCTGGGCAAGGCAAAGACTCTGTGCCACCTGTTAAATGAAGGGAGCCCATCCCTAAGCTCTGAGTTCCTTAATCAGGGTTTTTATTAGATGAAGTTTTGGGAATTCAGCTGACTGTAATGTGATTGAGGGGAAAGGGGGTCAATTGGTTAAAGGAAGCAAGCAGGCAGTGCCAGATTTACACATAAGCTAAAAAAGCTATAGCTTAGGGCCCCATTCTCTTGCCCCCCCAAAAAAAAATAAAGGAAAAAACAACCTGGATGTACATTTCCAAAATATAAGATAAAAACAAATGAAATAAAACCTACATACAGCAACAGTGGCAAATGGCTTTAGATACCTATTAGGTCCTAAATTAACATATAGCATATATTCAACACAAAAAACAGTGACAATTTGTTGTTGACAAAGGACAGCTGGACATATAAAGGGCCCCATTAGCTTCAGTAGCGTAGGGCCTCATCAAACCAAAATCTGGCCCTACAAGCAGGAGTGTGTGTGTGTGTGTGTGTGTGTGTGTGTAGAACACAATGTGGGCTGCCTGTTTGAATCAGAGGCAACAGTAATGGGAGAGAGGGGACCTTTTGGGAGTGTAATACTTTGAACCCCTCCATCATAGGCTCAGGTTGTATATATGTGTAAATGTGTGTAAGCCATGCATCATAAAGACACCACAGTCTGCACTGTGCCCCATTCCCAAAGGAACCCTGGGTAAATGCCTGGAGCCCTGGAATCCGGCACCTCTTGGAGACTGGGGTGGTGTGTAACAGTATTATATAGTTTGCAAATAGGGCTGGTACCATCTATCAGAGCTTATCTGCCTCCTCTCTGACAGTCAGAAATCATGGTTATCACTGTCTCCAGGCCATGGATGATGGGCCATGGTGGGAGAACCTTACACGTTTGCTTTCACCTCCTTAGAGGAAGAGTGGGGTAGTATCTAATTAATTGGGCTATGCTACACTCAGTTCGAAGGGATGTGGGTGGCGCTGTGGGTTAAACCACAGAGCCTAGGACTTGCCGATCAGAAGGTTGGCGGTTTGATTCCTCGTGACGGGGTGAGCTCCCGTTGCTTGGTCCCTGCTCCTGCCAACCTAGCAGTTCGAAAGCACATCAAAGTGCAAGTAGATAAATAGGTACCGCTCCGGCGGGAAGGTAAACGGCATTTCCGTGTGCTGCTCTGGTTCGCCAGAAGCAGCTTAGTCATGCTGGCCACATGACCCAGAAGCTGTATGCCGACTCCCTCGGCCAATAAAGTGAGATGAGCGCCGCAACCCTAGAGTTGGTCACGACTGGACCTAATGGTCAGGGGTCCCTTTACCTTACACTCAGTTCAGAGGCATAGCATAGGGAGGCCGGGGGGGCCTCCTGCAGGCCCCGGCCCATGCACACATTTTTGAGGAGGTGCCCCCATGACAGACATGGAGCCTTGGCAGCTGAGGTGCAACGGCAGGTGGGATGATCTAGTGGGCAGGTGGATGGAGGCAGTGGGCAAGGAGCCTTTTGGAGGCAGGCTCTTTTCACCCTCCACGTGGGCTCTGCATGAGCCCCCACCCCAGCTGCCCAGTTCGCTGGTGGTGGTGGGAATACTTGCACCGCCCCGGGCGCCAGTAACCCATGCTATGTTGCTGGCTCAGTTCCCCCAACTGCAAAACGGAGACAATAGCCAACTCCCTCCCAGGACAGGTGGTTCCAAGGATGACTACAGTTAAAAAGAGATTGCAAAGCACTTTGAAAACTGATCATGGAGAAGTCATAAAAGCCCACCACAGAACAAGACAGAGGTGAAACATTCCCTGTTTAATCAAAGGATTTGAGAATATGGGTGGCGCATGTGGCTATCGCAGAAGAAAGAAATATCTAAGCTCTCTCCCACTCCCTTAAGAGGAGGAGGAGGAAGAAGAAGACGGGAGGGGTGGGGGGTGGAATCGCCTATGTACTCGAACACCTCCAGAGGTTCTTTGAACAAATATTTAGTTTCCAAGTAATAAATTTGGGTAATGCAAAGAAAAAGCTTTTAGGCGCTCCAGTTGAAACTCGTTCTCGCTGTTCGCTGTAGGCGCTCAGAACGGCTGAGCTGGTAAACTTGCCTTTCACAGCAGTGGTAATTTAAACCAGGGACAGGCAGCCAAAACAGATCTGACCCCACAGATCGGTGCTTTCTTTTTTTCCTTAATGTTTAACTTCATCTCGGGAGAAACATTTAGCTCCCCTTTGGTAGGTCTCCTTTGAAGGGAACTCCCTAGCCGTTCAGATAGCCAAGTATGTCTGGAGCAGCCCAAAGGCCTTTCTAAAATCAATTACAGAAAGCAATAAAAGGTCATTTGGACAGCATTTCCCACCCTCCCATTAGGGGAGAGAGGGTTGGGGTTTTTTTTGGTATATCATCTCCACAACTCATTACTGTCTGCTCCCAAAATCTTGTTGTTCTATTGCGGTTTATGATCCCTCTGGACAATAATTGTGTAGGTCATCTCAGTGATTCCTTGTGTCACTGGTGCTAGGGAAATGTTTAACTGGATCTGTTGTAATGACATTTTGTGCTTGTGTAGAAAGACACCCTTGCCTTGGTTAAACTCAGACAGCTATGGTGTGTCAGTACAGTGGTACCTCGGGTTACATATGCTTCAGGTTACATACGCTTTAGGTTACGGACTCCGCAAACCCAGAAATAGTACCCCGGGTTAAGAACTTTGTTTCAGGATGAGAACAGAAATCATGCAACAGTGGCGCAGCGGCAGCAGGAGGCCCCATTAGGTAAAGTGGTGCTTCAGGTTAAGTACAGTTTCAGGTTAAGAACAGACCTCCAGAACGAATTAAGTTCTTAACCCGAGGTACCACTGTATATTGGAATATATATTGCTCTCTCTGTCTATCTTTTATCCATCATAATCTACCTATGGGAAAGTACAAAAATACATACATAATTGTATTTGTATGCCATCTTTCCACAGTTCAAAGCATGCTTAAGCTGGCTTACAACATGAAGAAATACTTAACTACAACATAACAAAAGTAGTCATAAGCAAGAAATAAAACATTAAAAAAATACACAACCAAACTGAACAACGTATCCCCCACACTCTGCTGGAGTCTTGGGCATTTAATTATGGTGTGACATGGATATATATTTATTGGGTGAAACTTTATCAGCACTTCTACATGGCAGAAAAAGCCTCACATGCTGAATTTCATGTAGCTTTAAAGACAGAAGAACCTTGCCCCCCCTCTCTCTGTGTTGGCAAACCTACCTACTTAACAATCTAGAGTTGCCTTGACCCTGAGTACAGGTTTGGGTGGGGCCTCAATGCAGAGGGAGCCCTGATTTTGCTCCAGGAAGCTGATTTCTTCCTCTTACAAGGAAAAGAAAGCTGTTGTGGGATTTTGACAGGTAGGTAGAAGAATAGAAAAAGAATGATGGAGGGGGGGGGCAACGGGGCTTCTCAGTCCTTGCATCTCAGAAGGGTAGCTGAAGGGTCCCACAGCTACCCTGCAGTGTTCAGCCAGCCTTTATGAATTGAATGAAGTAGAACATTGGACAGGACTTGCTAGAGGAAGGGACCTTTCAGTGGAGCCATCAAGCTGTCACCACAGTCATAAAGGCATGACACACAAGGAGGGACTAGGAGGGGAAGGAGTTTAATTTCCTGGCTCCAGTCACAAGGCCAGGCTTTCCTCAGCCCCCCCCCCCCCACAAAGGCCAGCTCCACCATCAACACGCTCACATGTTGCTGAATGGCCCATTTGAGGCTGTAGGTGTGGGAATCCAATGATTGAATGCTTCCTTATATGAAAAACAAGCAAGCACCCGCCATGTGTACATAGAAAACCAGCGTGCCAGGAGGATTGTGAGTGCCTGAGCCCTCATCCTAACTAGTGGTACTGATGGAGGAGGACTTTGGGGGCAGAAATTCAGCAGAATGAACAGCAGAGCCCTGAAATACTGCTTTACCACACTTTGAAATAAAGTGGTACCTTGGGTTAAGAACTTATTCGTTTCGGAGGTCCGTTCTTAACCTGAAACTGTTCTTAACCTGAAGCACCACTTTAGCTAATGGAGCCTCCCGCTGCCGCCGTGCCACTGCCGCACAATTTCTGTTCTCATCCTGAAGCAAAGTTCTTAACCTGAGGTACTATTTCTGGGTTAGGGGAGTCTGTAACCTGAAGCGTCTGTAACCTGAGGTACCATTGTAATTGAATGCACATAATCATGTAAACTGTCCCCTGCTCTTGAATATTGTCTAAAGTCTAGCATTCCCGACTGCCCTGATATGTTAGTTTTCTATGTCCATTGAGCTTTTATTTCAGATAGAACAAAGTTATTTCTTCCTTTATTACATTTATACCCCACTTTCCTCCTAGGAGTTCAAAGTGGCCTGCTTGCTTCTCTCCCTCCACACTTAAGCCCCATAACAATCCTGTGAGGTAGGTTCAACTGAGAGGCAGTGACTGGCACAAGGTCACTAAGCGACCTTCATGGCTGAGTGGGGACTTGAACCCTGGTCTCCTAGGTCCTAGTCCAACACTCTAACCATCACACCACGCTGGCTGGTTCTATTGTGAATGCTTTGTGATTGACTAAAAAGAAATGCAAGACGTGTTCCAGCACTTGAGCTTCACTTGCGCCCTTAAGTGGATTATTCCAACTCTAGATGTATCATGGATACCAATGATGCATCTCCGCTTTTGCACCATTATCATATGACAGAGCTTGGTCTCCACGTACTTCAAGGGTGTAGAGAAGTGCAGTAGAGGATGGTACAGCTTGTAAGCATGCAAGTTGTAAGCCAAGAAGTCTCCATTTCTACTCTCCCTTGAGTCAAGTACTCAGCCCTTTGCCCATGTGAAATGCCCTACCTTGCATGGTTGTTGTAAGCATAATTAAGACAATGTATGTGAAACATTCTGAACTCTTGAAATGCACTGCTACTACTGTGGTTTGGATCTTTCTGCTGAACATGGTCCATGATAGCTTAGCTGGTTAGGGCGTGGTGCTGATAACACCAAGGTTGCAGGTTTGATCCCCATATGGGACAACTGCATATTCCTGCAATGCAGGGGGTTGGACTAGATCAGTGGTTCTCAACCTGTGGGTCCCCAGATGTTGCTGGACTACAACTCCCATAATCCATAAGCTCTGGCCTTGCTAGCTAGGGGTGATGGGAGTTGTAGTTCAACAACATCTGGAGACCCACAGGTTGAGAAAGGCTGGACCAGATGATCCTCGGGGTCTATTCCAATGCTACAATTCTATGATTCTATATTTTTTGTATTAATAGCAGCCACATCCCTCTGTAGGTGAGGTTTTGGGTTACCATATTTATCAACTAGTTCAAGAGAGAATGTCTGAAGAACCAGAATGTGAAACGTAACTCCAAGACATGAACTGATTCCTCAATATTCATTGCCCAGTCCTATCACTGTCTATAATATGCCAATGCCTTTATAGTAGGGATGGGAAATCTGCGGTCTGCCAGATGTTGTTGGATTCCAACTCCCATCAGCCCCAAGCAGCATGACCAATGGCCAGGGATGGTGGGAGTTGTAGTCTAATCACATCTGTATTAGCATTTGCTTCTTGTGAAAAACAGGAGCTTCAAAGCAGAGGTTTGGAATGGAAAATCTGGCTTATGTGAGTTACAACAGGTGCATGGCACACATTTTGATTTCCAAGTTTTTCCTCTTTTAAATAGCGCACAGGGCATAATGCTGAGAAAATGCAGCACATCGTTGCGATGTGGGTGTGGTTAGAAGCCATGTGACTTATGGATAGGAGCAAGGAGGAAATGAGGCAATGAGTTCTAAGACATGAGACCATCAGGCTGTCTGGGGTGGAGTGGAGGTTGTGTGCATGAGCTGAAACAATTCTGTGGGAACGTCAGATGTATATGATGGGCAGAAGAGGGGGTTTTCTAACCCTATCTTTTGACCAAACGTATTCCACTCTCAGATGCAGATTGCTTACTCTGAGCAAACCAGAGGGACTGTTTTCAGCAGAAGCCTGTTTGTGATGAATTCGCTGTGGTTTGTTCCAGACAGACATTTTATCACACAACACTTGGTCTTAGCCAGGATGTGGTCAGCCTTTGTAAGGTGTTTGGGAAAGGTTTTCTATGAACTCCTGCAATAAAACTTATAACAACTGGAGTTATGGGGCCTATTGCAAAGGGTCTTTAATGGTTTTAGGAATTTGAAGTTATTTTAAGGGGTGGGGATGGAGTTGTGTTTTATATTTCCTTAGCATGCTTGTTGAGGCATACTGGTACTTCGGACAAGAAAATGCTTTGCCACATCCAAAAGCGAATCTTTTGGGCCAGCTTGCCCACCGTCCACATTGTCACATATGGTGCTTGATTATGGGGAGAGAAGCAAATGCTCTTTAAGGAGAAGGGGGTGTTTTGCTGCTGTGGCCAATTGCCTACCAGCCCAGCACCAAACAATTTAAAGCATATATCTTCTATACTGTAATCTAGACCAGCTGGTAGAATTTCCCTGAGGCTACTACTGCAGCCAGGAATTGCTGGAGTGTTGGTATGTACTGGCTTCACTTCCTTTTCCATAGACACATCCCCCTCTCCCTTTCTTCTCTCTCCTTGACACACATACAAACACTATGCTATGGTGGGGAGGGTGGTTAGAGGTTTAAGCAACAGCTGTAGTTGCCCAAAGACTTCCTCAGGAAATGTGTGCGAGAGAGAAAGAGAGAGAGAGAGAGAGAGAGAGAGAGAGAGAGAGGTGAGATGGGATAAATATGTGGGCTTGGGACATGCATCTTCCAGAACTTCTCTGACCAGAAGTGCTCCTAGCAGGAGCTTCTCCAATGGAAAAGTAGCTACGGAATTGTGGACTTGTTCAGCCAACTTTTGTCTGTTATAGCAAAACGAACGAACAAACAACGAAAAGGCTACTGTGGATTTTAGCCAAGACTCCTGGCTGGGAGTTTTCTCAACCTTCACCAGAGGTCTGGAAAAACACTTCTCCTCCACAGGGCTTCTCCCAGGTGTGCTGAAGATAAGTCTTGCCTGCGGCCTGTCTACATAAAACATCAGAACAACTTAGTACTGTTTAGTAATTGTTTTACATGTGACATTTCCAAGATGAAATTTATTGTTATTGGTTCCCTCTATAGATAAGGAAGTAGAGTACTTGGCCTACACCATAAATCTATACACCTTGCATAGAAATAAGTCCCATTGACACATGGGCATACCCAGGATTTAGGTTGGGGTGCGCGTGCGCAGGACCACCCACTTGTCATCCTACTCTTGTCCAGCAGATTCGGAATGAAATGTCTCAACAACAGTTGTTTTAAATTTCTTTCTTTTGACCCCAAGTGCTCAGAAAAATCTGGCGAGACATTTCAAATATTCTGATTATTTCAACTATTGGTTAAGTATTTTTATTTATTTTCTTACTTGGGGGGGAGGAGCTGCCCCCCTGCACCTCCAGCTAAGCCCACGCATTGACATAAAATGGTTGTGGATTACAGCTTACACAACACTGTGCTGAGGTGTAGAACTGTGCTTGCATTGCAAATGTATTGGTAGTATTGTATTAGCAATGGCATGGCCATCTTGAATATTACCTTCAGCCATGGAAATTGCCCCAAAGTAAAACAAACAAACAAACAAACAAACAAACAAACAAACAAACAAACATATATCTATTGTGTTGTTTCTCTTCTGAATAAGCTGCTCCAGCCAGTCAGTCTGCTATGGGTAGAGATATCATTGTGATAAATTTGTTCACCTGAACTGGTTGCATCACACGAAACCCAGTATTGTTTTCAACTTACCTGCACACTTTTATGAAACTGCTGGGGTTAGCATAGGATTGTGTTTGCCAAAACTGGAATGCTGAGGTTGGAAGTATAGGTGACATAAAATGACTTTGGAAAGGCCTTGTATTTATATCTTCAGTTTTTGAGCCTGCTTGAAAACACTGTTGGAAGTGGGTGGGCAAAGACTGCATTGGACTCATTTAGGGTTCACATACAAGCCTGTGACAATTTATACACTGAAGTTTGGGGGGGAAACTGTGTGAAGTTTGTGAAGAAGGACATACAATTTTACTGCAGTGTGTGTGAGCTGTTCTGCTAGTACTGTACCAGGCAGAAATTGGAATGTTGTTGGCATCTCAAGAGGCAATGGGGTGCACCTCCAAGGGTGAAGTCAAGCAGTCAAGGAGACACTGCAGCTTGTTTTGTGTGGGATTCCACTTATTTCTGCTCTGCTTAGTATCCAGCTACCTATAGCTCTTTCATTCTGCCCATCCTTTGGGAACTCTAGCATTCAAAGCCATTAATAACAGCTGCCCCAAGTTCAGCCATTTGATTTCACCCTGATATTTCATACGCAAGTTTGGATTTCTGAGAGCTGAAAGGGTTTAGGCATGGCAATTATTAGTCAAGGATTTTACACACTTGCCAAGTCTCATTATTTTCATTTATTTAAAGCTGTAGGGGGTAGGAAAAACAAATTGAACCAAATAATATTTCTGGAGTTTCCCCTTGGAAAACTCAAGGGGGAAAAGAATGAATGTGATTGGCTAATGTCCACCTCTTGCTCCCTTCTCAGTTGCAGAACAACAGAAATCCCTGTGTCTGCCTTTATTATTATTTTGTAATTTATGTTATGCTATGTTTTAAATGGGTGCAAGAGACCTATAAATCTCAGACTTCCCCAAACATCGAAGTGGTCCTAACTGCAGATTTGGTGATATTGCTAGAGTGAATTGTGAAATCAGGGAGGATTTGTGCAAAGCAGATTTGGTGATGTTAACAAATCAAAACATGCAGAATACATACAGTGGTACCTTGGTTCTCAAACACCTTGGTACTCAAACACCTTGGTTCCCAAACGCCAAAAACCCAGAGGTTAAGTGTTCTGGTTTTTGAACGCTTTTCAGAAGCCGAACATCCGATGCAGCTGTCAGCTATTGTTTCTAGGACGCCTGCACCAATCAGAAGCTGCGCCTTGGTTTTCGAACATTTCAGAAGTCAAACGGACTTCCAGAACGAATTAAGTTTAGTGCTTTTGTTTTTGCTATTTATGTTGTGTTTTTGTTTTTGAGGATTTTTCATTAATTTGTTTTTGTGACTGTGTGGAACCCAGTCCAGCTATTGATTGATTGATTGATTGATTGATTGTGTGACTGCGGAAATGGATAAAAGCCCTCCATTCAAACATTGACTATCATCAGTGCAGGTAAGAAAAAAAATAATTTTAATTTTTATCATCTACAATACTGTCTTATTTATTGTATAGTACAGTATGTTGATTATTGCTTTCATTTTATGGATCAATGGTCTCGTTAGATAGTAACATTCATGTTAAATTGCTGTTTTAGGGTTGTTTTTAAAAGTCTGGAATGGATTAATCTGTTTTGCATCACTTTCTATGGGAAAGCGCACCTTGGTTTTGGAATGCTTTGGTTTTGGAACGGACTTCCGGAACAGATTAAGTTTGAGAACCAAGGTGCCACTGTATTTGATTTTCAAAACACTTCCTCTTGCTATCTTTGTAGTTTCCCCTGTGAAATAACACTTCAGGTTCTCTTGAGACAAGCGGCAATAGGTTGCCCAATGTGTGCTTTCTGAAGGCCAAAATTTTCCATGGGACACGAACCCTCCTCTTTAATTTTCAGAAATAAGTCCATTTGGAATGGTATAAGTTGTCTTCTTTCTAAGCTGCAGTTTATGCCACCTCTCTGCATGCTTGATGCTGTCCACTCACTAATCCTTTCCTTGGAAAGGCTTGGATCTCTTGCCTGTACTTTTTGGAGGCAGTACACACTGGGGAATGATATTCAAGGACAAAAGAGGCAAAGAAGCTCCACTATAATAAGGAACTTGTAGCCAGTCAGTCCAGCATTTGAAAAATGAAAGTTCCGCCTCCCCAATCTGGTTTGATGGCTTTGAAAGGTTTCGATGTAGTATAAGATATCCATCATTTTGAGCATGACTCTGTTCAGTTAACAACAACAACAACAACAACAACAACAACAACAACAACAATAATTTATTTATACCCTGCCC